TGGGGTCGCGAGGGGTGCTGGTGCCTATCTCCAGCAGTCATTGGGCGATAGGCGGGGTACACCCTGGACAGGTCGCCAGTCCATCGCAGAATAGTGACACTAGTGTTATTATAAATTAAAGGGCTTCGACTTCATTCTTCCTTTCAATCTGAAAAACTCAATCAAGAAAAAGACAATTAGAAGAATTTTATTGATACATAATTTTAAGACTTTGGTGCCCAGACCTTGGCAGGAAACAGCAGTGAATTTTACTTTAATATGTGTAAGCAGGTGTAAGAGAACAAGCCTGAAACCCTCCAGGCCTGAAACTGGTGGTGGAGTGGAGATGAAGTTGGTTCAGTTCATAGAATGCTGGTTTGTGAGACGATCTGCTTGAGCGGTATTGGTGAGATCCAGTAGACTGTGTATGCTGATAGTAGTGCTTGATCCGGGACTCGGAAGATAGATGTCCAGCTTGGATAAACACAGGTTTGCAAGAACCTGTCCATGAGCAAGCATGAAGCGACAGTGGAGAGTAAAAACTCCCCTTTTGAAAGAAACCTCTGGCAGAACCAGGCTCAACATGGCGGTCTTCTGCTGTACCGATTGAGATGTGGCGGGGAATGCAGTAAAAGTTCAGGAGGAATTACACTATGATAAGGATGAGGTTGAAGAAGCACCATGGAAAAGTCAGAAGGAGCTTAGCTACGGTGTTGGAGAAAGGTATGGAGGTGGGTTGAATCAGGGTCATCTGAGTCAAAATAAGACCACTGCTTGTGCTTGTCTGGGTAGCAGGCTGAGTCGATACACTCATCTAAAACAGATCTGTTAAATTTATCAAATAGAAGTCTCCATTAACAAATACTTACTTTTTTCCTGTCTTTAATTTTATCTAATATTTATATTTAAAAGGCAATTGTTGTGAATTGGTACAGTTGAATTAAAGCTACATTGATTTTACTTGAATCTGGAATTCCAAATAAGTTATTCGGAATATTAAGGTTCACAAATATGATATAGGATTTAATGTCTTTCGGTTTTTTCTTTTGGTTCTGTACTCTTATTTTTTTTTCTTCAACATTTTAGCCCTAAAAAATTGTAAAAACTAGATTATCTACATATTTCATATAATACAAGATAACTATTCATGTTGAAATTAAGGTTTTACCTTTTCTAAAGATATGACCTTTTTGAAACTAGGAACATATTTTTTAGCTATTTTGTCAATTTGGTGTATTATTCGTAACCTTTCATGTACTTGTATCAAAATGTATTCACAGCAATAAAGAAATAAAAAGTATTTCTTAAGATAATATATCTCAGGTAATACCCTTGTAATGAATATTATCACACTTTATGGGATTTTAGCTTCTTTATTGTCAAATATATTATTGACCATTATCAAATAAAAATACATCCAAACAGTGACTTGTTAAGAAAATGGTTTTCATACAATGCATATTAAAGGCCTATATCATGCAAAATCCACTTATTTAATGATTCCTTCATGAAGATCATACACAAAGAGGTAGTTTGACTGATTTTGACATCTCAGACTAATCCTAATGAGTTGCTCATGTCTGAAAATCTTAAAAAAACTTAATTAAAAAAGTGTTAAGTTTAATTATGTTAATCAGAAACAAATTTAAAGTGTACCTATTGTCAAAGCTTTCTCTTTGAGATTGAAAAAAGCCTTTGTACTATTGCAAAATAATAAAAACTGCTACTCAGTAGTTAAAACAACACTCTATCTTTTGACCTGAGTATAAGCTTATTAATATATATCTAATTTAAGTTAAATTTAAGTTACTTGAGGGGGTCTAATTTGTCACCCAATTAGTCATGTGACCCAATGCGCCAGTTAGCGTAATTATGAGCTCCCTTAAATGAGAGCTAACCCTAAAAAGTTTATATTAGCTATTAAAACAAGTTTGAACATGTACCTGATCAGACATATTTTTGGTTTTACGTTACACAATTTAATCTACGGGGGTGAATGTGGCCTCCTCTTTAAAAGTAAGTTCATAACTTCTGAGTATGCTTGTCCAAACTGGTCTACAATTAGATTTAAAAACTTGGAGGGAAACTTTATTTTTGCTAGAGTGCACTGTTGCCAGTTGCTTTCGGGGCCGACACCTGGAAATTACAGATCTAGTACCCCTAGATGTTAAGAGTCACACAACATTGCTTTATATTTAAGTTGTTTACATTATGATGCAAATATTTCTTTACAGCCAATGCGCTAATATACTTTTAAATTTTTATTCAAGCCATTTTGGAATATCTTACTCATATACTGAAACTGTAGACAGAGTGAATAATATCTAATATTTTCAGATTATGCTTTTTTTATAGCATTTACTCCGATAACATACCTTTTTGTGTTCTTTTCTGGCTTCATTAGGATTATGTGACATTTTTTAGCAAAAATGCTGATCAATAAACCATATGCTGATGACAAAATTGCAAAAATCTCCACAGCGACTGTAAACTTTCCAGGAGAGCTGACATATGCTGGGATAAAAGTGATCCAGACAGCACAGAATACCAGCATACTGAACGTTATATATTTGGCTTCATTAAAATTATCAGGCAATTTTCTTGCTTGAAATGCAAGGATTAAACATATTACTGCAAGGATCCCTATGTATCCGAGTACTGCATAAAATGCAACCTCAGACCCTGTGTTACATTGTAAAACAATTTTTTTGTTACTATATGTAAAAATTTTGTCAGGGAAAGGAGGATTTAAAGTTAACCACGATATACAGATAATTACCTGAATCAAAGTGCAAGAGCAAACAATAATTCTTTGTTGAAGTGGACTAAACTGTCCCATAACTTTGTTGCTTGGGTGTTTGATTTTGAATGCAGTTACTACCACAATAGTTTTTCCTAACACACAAGAAATAGAAAGAGCAAATGTCACACCAAAAGCTGTGTGGCGCAGCATGCATGTCCAGACTGTAGGTCTACCAATGAAGGTGAGAGGGCAAAGAAAACACAGAAAGAGAGAAAACAACAAGAAGCAACTCAGCTCTGAGTTGCTGGCCTTTATTACTGGAGTGTCTCTGTAGTGGATAAAAATGGTCATTGTGAGGAGTGACAGGATGGCCCCTAGTAACGCTACAACTGTAAGCGCTACTCCCATGGGTTCATGGTAGGTCAGGAACTCAACTGCTTTTGGAATACACTCACTGTGTTTCTCATTGGACCAGTATTCTTTTGGACAGGCTGTGCATTCCATTGCACCTGTTGGGGGAAAAACACTGAATGTAGAAATAAAATGGCACCAGTTTAAGACAAGAAGAAGAAGTAAACTGTTAGCAATTGGAAATATAACCCACAGTGCATATTATACCAAGTCATTTTAGTTGCTCCCATTTTTAAGGGTTGTTGCTTCAAGTCAAGCCTTTTCTGATGCAATGAGTATTTGAACTTAAATTCCCACATTAGTCAAAATCTCAAACCCCTTTATGGTGGCAACTTTATCACAATGCATATTAAACTAGTTGTGTGTTTTTCTTGTGAGTCATGATTGTCTACCTGTTAAGTTTGCTATAGTTCCATCTGCACATGGAATACAATCAAAACAGCACTTTGGTTTCCCTTTGATTTGAGCTTTCCTTTTCCCTTCTGGGCATTCATTAGAGCACAGCGATTGAGGAACCTAAAAGAAAGAAAAAAGAAACACTGTTTGACACATATAATCTTTGTTGTATGATAATTTAATGGTGCAATTGTTTTAGAGACTCTTGTGATACAGAATAAATAATTACATTTTTTCCTGTCCTCCAAACTATCTTTTCTTCCTGCACGCTTAGTGTATAGTCACCATTTTTATCAGATGCAAAATGACCCACAGTCACATGCTGGACCTGTCCATTTTTAAGTTGCCAGTTAATGATATCATAGGAGGCAGGAGGATTGCCATTCTCATCAAAAAACACATGATCTCCAAACTGGTTTCTGAAGTTTACTCTTTGTAAGTGATATGTTACCTTATAACAAAAAAGGCATGATAAAAGCATGTTTTTGGAGGGTTTTTTTTTATCATTTTTTGCTGACATGATTATTCATCACTGCTCACCTCTTTAGGATGAATTTCCGACAGGTTCAAGCAAGGATTCATGCTTTTTCCTCCAGCTGGTTGGCAGAAGACCAGCTGGTGAAGGGCATGTGCAATAGCATAAACAGCTTTATACACATTATAAGAAACTCTAAGCTGTGTGACATTGAAGAACATGTCATGGGTGTAATCCTTCTCCAATTTCTCATTGCCTGTACATATCTTAGTTGTTTTCCCTGTACTTATGTCCATTCCATGTGAAATGGGTTGACAACCTACCATTATCTCCCAAAAATCCTTCACAAAAGGCATACTTGGATCTCTGTAAGGGTTAATATCTTTCAGAAATGGATGTAGATTTGGGATAGCCATCTTCTGTACAACAAACCCCAAAGCTCCACCAAAAGCTTGGTACATTTCTGGTGTGGATGGTCGTGCAGCTGTTATCCATGCTTCACTAGCAATCCACTGAATTCCAGTGATTTTCTGTTTAACTATCTCCTTCATCAAAGGGTAAAAGTCTCCCTCCGGAACAAAAGCAAGAATTACTTTGACAGTAGATTGCTTGATCATTTCTACAACTTTCCGAATTTTATCCAGAGGGTAAGTTCGGAGAACTGTACCAATAAAAGCAATACAAATTTTTAATGTCTTAACCTCCTCAGTGAATGCAAGAATTCCATTTCTTCCATAATCATTGTCAGACTGTATGGCTCCAATCCACTCCCAGCCAAAATGTTTGACTAATGAAGCCAAAGCTTTTGCCTGAAAGTAGTCGCTGGGAATTGTTCGGAAAAAAGTAGGATATTTAGCTCTGTTACTGAGACAGGCACATGTTGAAAAATAACTTACCTGCAAAAGAAAAAAAATACTTTTTTTTTAAAGAATCACACAAAGTTCTTTGCAAAATAGGCAATATACTGTTGTTTTATTTCTTACTATTGGCAGTTGAAATGGTCCTAGAGTTTCAGCCACAGCTAAGGACTGAGATGATCCTGACTCAGCTATTAGAGCAGATATAGCTGGGGGACAAGGAGATGTCATTTCCTTCCCCTCTGGTTCACCTCCCAGTGTCAATGCAGCACGAACAGTGTTAGTAGGAGAGGCACAAGAGTCAAGGATTCTATAACCAAGAGAAACATTTGGAAGGAGAGCAGGATTTTTGTTGATTTCATCAATTGCAAATATCATCACTTGGGTCCATCGAAAAGCACGCAGGTCAAATCTAAAATTTAGAAAGAAGAATAAGCTTTAGCACAAGGTTAAAACACATAAAATTCATTTGGAAGAGAAAATAAAGTTACCCTTCACACATAATTTTAAGAGGCTCCCCCTCAAATGTATTGATCTTGCTTATCTCTTTATTGAAGACTGGAAAAATCCCCCCTATCATTATATCACCTTGCTTAAATATATATGGCATATCAAATTTTCCAGTCAGTCCACAGCCATAAACTTGGCTTATGTAAAATTCAACCAAAAGTACAAGATAATTTTTCTGCATGTTTGTGTTGCGTTGCCAAACGGTTAGGACTAAGCTTTTATAACAGTTTGTTGGATATGAGAGCATATCCCTTAGGATATTCCTAGTTAGGGAAGGTTTACAATACAAAAAAAAAAAAAAAAACGCAAAAGCAATCCACACATCAATACCCCTATGCAAATTAATTAACAAAATAATAACATTCCCCTTTTAAAGGTAGGATTTTTGCTTTACAGATTAATTATTTTTTCAAGTATTTATCATTTAGGACTTTGTTATTTGATCATTATCATAACAGAGTGCATACAATAGTCTTCTAAAAACAAGACAACAAATCTTTCAATACATTTGTATCTAGGTAGTCCTCCAACTTTTTGTGTAAATCTATAGCAAATAACATACTATTTGAATAAAGTAATTGATTATTGCCAACACTATCTATACAAGTCTAATTAAATAAAAGGTGACTCAGATGATTGAATTAAATTAAAAAATGAATGACATAAAACAAACAGAATAAAAGGCATTATATATCCAAAAAATATTGTATCAAACAAGTTATCAAAACCTTTGTCTGAATAATTTTTTCTAAAAGGAATAATTTTAACCTACTCTTAAAAAACTTAAGTATGTAGCTCAACTTAAAACCTACCTTTTATTTCAAATCAGAACTCCACTTTCTTTAGACAAGACTTAGACAAACTTTATTGTCATTTTGTATACAGAGATTGTATACAAAACGAAATTTCTTTTTGTACAGGTCTCATGACATTTCCATTTCTTAAAGTGCAGCAGTGATTAACTGCAAACATTAGGTGAAAAAAGGAAAGTGAAAAACAATAAGCTAGACTTTGTTTCCAAGGTTGAAGACATTTTTCTTCCCATCCAGGAATCTTTTTCAATTCAGAATGCCAGGAATAGCGTTGAGTTTGAGGTTTTATACAGTGGCCCATCAAAACCTTGTTTTCATTTTGAAAACATGCAAATTGAAACAGATGAAAGGGGCCACCACTTTGGAATGAGGGTCGTTTGGCTTCTTTTGTTAGTCTGCAATGCCCCATACCCGTCTAAGTGTCTGAAAGCGGGTAGTTAAAGGAAATTGTCAGCCTGGCTGAGTAGGCGAGGTTCTCCGATTTTGCCTGGCCTATTCAGCCAGGCCAACAATTCCCTTCAATTTTAACACTCCACTCAGAGTTAATCGCATGCGCAACAAGTATGAAAAGCCATTATCAGTGGAGCACCGATTCGACGAGTCACCATGACAACAGGAAACAGGAAGTGCCTATTTCACCTCATTGGAACTAGAGATTGTAATGCAGTAAAGTAAAAATAAAATTAAAAAGGAGAATGCACTAAAAAGACAGAGAAACAGTTCTACAGCTAATAAGAAGAGGAAGATGGCAAGGGAGAAGATTGTTGTTCATAAGTTTATATGAAGTGGGGGGATTTCTGGGGGACAGTGATTTGCCTACATTTTATGAATGCTGGCCTACCATAAATCATATATTATGAACAGTTTAGTTTGTGCCTTCAACTCGTTGTCCATAGGAAGACGTTACTTGGATGTAACAAAACCGAATATCTTCAGAACAGATCCAAAAAACACAAAACCCATATGGGTGAGTAAACCTGATGTAATAACGTAAAATCAAGGGTCCAATGTATAAAAAAAAAAATAAAAAAAAAGGTGTCCCCCTTTACTCTGTGCTGTCAGTTCATCTCATGATTATATTAAAATATTCTGTTCTCTTTCGGCGCAGTAGATCCCCGACATACGGGTGGGTGATGGTCCTGGGATTCCCCAATGAAAGCTCTCTGAAGCGTGCAAGGTTATCTGGGATTTCTTACCATTCGTAGCCACTGAAAGTGAATGACAAAAGCTATTTTTAGATCTATGGTAAAAAATATTTTTATATTCAGTATAGTAAATGAAGGGTGATATTTCTCTAAAAAATATTCTCTCGATCTACGTATCTATAATTAACGATTTGTGTTTTTGTTAATCCTGAAACTTACTGTACTATGAGGATACTTAAATATAAACTACAGAACTTTTAAGTAAGCAGATTATCTAGATTAAATTATCCTTTTGGAAGTTTAAAAGTCAAGATTAAAAAAAGTTTCATGGGACAGGCCGGTAGTGCATGGGGTTATGTGCGTCTTATATACGGAGGCTTTGGTACTCAAAGTGGCCATCACAGGTTTGAGTTCTGGCCCTGGCAATTTATGTTGCATATCTTTCCCCATTTAAATTACCAGAGGCCACTAGTGTCTAAAAATAATTTTTAAAAAAGATAAATATTTTGTATATTGTCAACCAGACCAGCAAAGCACACTTTCTAAACTAAAATACATTTTTCTTTCAAAAATTACTTTATTCAATGTTTCAGATGTTGCACAACAAATATAGTTTTTAATGTGAAGATTGTTCACAGTGTGGTCCTTTTGCTTTGACTCAAAACACAGACACGTTGCTTACATCAAACAAGTCTTTATTTTCGTCTTCCATATACATAATTTGCTAAGCATAATAACAGATAGTTTTCAAATTAATGTAATTTTAATCCTAAAAAATAAAAATTGTATTTGTAGGAAGTTAGCAGTAGTTACTGATTAAGACCTATTCTGATATGATGACTTGACACATTTGTACGCATCTAACCCTTAAAAAAAAACTCTGCCAGAATACCAACACATTCATGGAAAAAAATGCTGATGTAAAAATTTATATAAAACAATTTCTAAACTCAATTTCTTATGAAGTCACATATTATCATGAGATGGAGGGAATTATCTGTCTCATTTCTCAGAGTTAGACAAATGGCAAAAGGAGCAAAACAAATAAAACATTTCCCTTATGGTTGCTTAAGCACTTACAGGTGAAATTAAGTTTAGTCAACATAATTGATGAAAAAAAAGTAACAGAAAATTGTTTAGGTAATAAGCACTGAAATAACAATCTTGTTTTATTAAGTATTTTGATTTTAAGCTGTTTAGTCCCAATGTACTTAAATATTTAAAACAAGAGATCCAATTTTCTTTTTATAATTTTATACTATATTACCGTATTGTTATTGACTATGTCTTTCCCATGACATGTTTCCTTGTGTTTTTCTCTGGCTTTATCAATATTATGTAACATTTAGGTGCAAAAATACTAATTAATAAACCAAATGCTGATGACAAAATCGCAAAGATTTCCACAGCTACGGTGAACTTTCCTGGAGAGCTGACATAGGCAGGGATAAAGGTAATCCAAACAGCACAAAATATAAGCATGCTGAATGTGATAAATTTGGCTTCATTGAAATTATCTGGCAATTTTCTTGCTAAAAATGCAAGAATTAAACATACCACTGCGAGAAATCCTATGTACCCCAAAACTACATAAAAAGCAACATCAGACCCTGTATTACATTCTAAAACAATCTTTTTGTTGCTGTATTTGAAAACCCGATCTGGCAAGGGAGGATTTAACTTCAACCACAATATGCATATCACTATTTGAACTAAAGTGCAGGAGAAAACAATAATCCTTTGCTGAGCTGGACCAAACTTAACTGCGACTTTATTATTAGGATGTGTGGCTTTGAAGGCAGTTACAACAACAATGGTTTTCCCCAGAATGCAGGAAATGCAAAGAGCAAACGTCACACCAAAAGCTGTGTGGCGCAGCATGCATGTCCAGACTGTAGGTCTACCAATGAAGGTGAGAGGGCAAAGAAAACACAGAAAGAGAGAAAACAGCAGGAAGAGACTCATCTCTGAGTTGCTGGCCTTTATTACTGGAGTGTCTCTGTAGTGGATAAAAATGGTCATTGTGAGGAGTGACAGGATGGCCCCTAGTAACGCTACAACTGTAAGCGCTACTCCCATGGGTTCATGGTAGGTCAGGAACTCAACTGCTTTTGGAATACACTCACTGTGTTTCTCATTGGACCAGTATTCTTTTGGACAGGCTGTGCATTCCATTGCACCTGTTGGGGGAAAAACACTGAATGTAGAAATAAAATGGCACCAGTTTAAGACAAGAAGAAGAAGTAAACTGTTAGCAATTGGAAATATAACCCACAGTGCATATTATACCAAGTCATTTTAGTTGCTCCCATTTTTAAGGGTTGTTGCTTCAAGTCAAGCCTTTTCTGATGCAATGAGTATTTGAACTTAAATTCCCACATTAGTCAAAATCTCAAACCCCTTTATGGTGGCAACTTTATCACAATGCATATTAAACTAGTTGTGTGTTTTTCTTGTGAGTCATGTTTGTCTACCTGTTAAGTTTGCTATAGTTCCATCTGCACATGGAATACAATCAAAACAGCACTTTGGTTTCCCTTTGATTTGAGCTTTCCTTTTCCCTTCTGGGCATTCATTAGAGCACAGCGACTGAGGAACCTAAAAGAAAGAAAAAAGAAACACTGTTTGACACATATAATCTTTGTTGTATGATAATTTAATGGTGCAATTGTTTTAGAGACTCTTGTGATACAGAATAAATAATTACATTTTTTCCTGTCCTCCAAACTATCTTTTCTTCCTGCACGCTTAGTGTATAGTCACCATTTTTATCAGATGCAAAATGACCCACAGTCACATGCTGGACCTGTCC